CACCAGGCTAACCCATCCCCCCACCCCCCTCCCCTCTAGAACCCTCAGTTTGTTTCTCAGAGTCCATAGTCTCATGGTTCGTCTCCCCCTCCGATTTCCCCTGTTTTGGATAACAGATGTGTCATCTGCAAATTTCTCTCAGTCTGTGACTTACCTCCTCATTCTCTTGACATTATCTTTTGAAGAGCAGAAATTTTTAATTTTAATGAAGCCTCGTTTGGCAATTTCTTTTGTGGATGGTGCCTTTGATATTGTATGTAAAAAGTCATCACCATACCCATTGTCATCTAGGTCTTCTCCTATGTTGTCTTCTAAGAGTTTTACAGTTTTGCATTTTACATTTGGGTCTGTGATCCATTTTGAGTTAATTTTTGTGAAAGGTGGAAGGTCTGTGTCTATTATGTATGTATGTATATCCACTTGTTCCGGCACCATTTGTTGAAGAGACGGTCTTTGCTCTACTGTATTGCCTTAGCACCTTTGTCAAAGATCAGTTGATTATATATATAGAGGTCTTTTTCTGGGCTTTCTGTGCTGTTTCATTGATCTCTTTGTACTTTCACCATTACCCACTGTCTTAATTACTGTTAAGTTTACATTAACTCTTCAAGTTGGGTAGCATCAGTCCTCTAACTTTGTTTTTCCCCTTGAGTATTGTCTTTGGCCATTCTGGGTCTTTTGCCTGTTCATATATGTTTAGAATCAGTTTGTTGATATCCATAAAATAACTTTGAGATTTGGATTGGGGTTGTATTAAATCTAATTTTTAGTTTGTTTTCTGTTTATTTAGTTCAACAGATGTTTATTTGGTATACAAATTTTATAACAGTTTCCTATGTCTTGGGCATAAGGGAAAGAAAAAGACGTATGCCCTATCCTCAAGGCATTTACCATTTCCCTCTGGTAAGGGTATACTCTCTCTGGGTATGTGTCCCTCCCTCCCTTCCTTCCTCCTCCTCCCTCCCTCTCTCTCCCTCCTCCTGCCTTCCTCTCTCTCTGTCTCTCTCTCCCCTGTCTCCTTTCCCCTCCATGCACAATGACCTGTAAGCATCATTTTTCCATAGTGACAATACTATAGGAGGAGTATGTACAAAGCACTTGGAGAGGAAAAAATGATTCATTCTTCCTGTACAAATTAGGAAGTGCTTCAAAGAAAAGGTCACATTAGAGCTGGGGCTTGAAGGGGACATTTTCAGAAGCTAGGGATAGAAGGAGAGATTGAAGGAGATTCCAAAAAGGGGAATAGCATGGGCACAAAGCACTGTACAAGTGCGTGATGTGTTCTGGGTAATGTTAGTAATTTAAGGTTTCTGGGGGTGACATGTTTCACACTTTTTAATGTAACACTTTATGACTATGAGTCTTTTTTGTATTTTAATTCATTTAATGAGCACTTGGCAAGATGAGAGACACACACACACAAAAATAAATAGCACTGGGCTTTACCCTCAGGGAATTTACAGTTTCACTGGAAAGTTACAGCAGTAAAAATTATATGGGAAACAATTTAGA